AAAGACGGCTGTCTCTAGTTATTGAGCTAAAAAAATACTGGCGCAGGGTGGAAAATGCCCTGAACAAACCTGGGAATATAGTTTGGTGTCCACTCAGGTTCCCGACGACGCATTTGAATCCACTGGCGTTGAAGTGTTGATTTCTTGGACGAAAGAAGTGTATGAAAAGTTACGCCTTTCATCTCAGGATATTTCGCTGTTTTTTTCTTTTTAATCGAACCCCAGGAATAGCCTGGGGCATTACAATACCAGTTAACCATTTTGACCAATTCTTGCAAAACGTTTGTAAAAAAATAAGACTTCGGCAACAGTAACTACTAGTATATTGCTTACAGCAGATGCCGCTCAAATTCAACCCCACCACGAACGTTGAACGGACTGTCATCCGAGTACTTTGAGAACGCCCTCTATCGAATTTCGTGAGAAAAATAGTAACTCGGAAATTAGGAATTAAACTCAATTCATTAGAATTCAACATAGAATTGCATTTTAATTCAATTTTAATTAAATTGCAGTTTAACCTTACATAGAAACATATGTTTAATAAAGGTATATGGTAAAATTATAATAATATTAAAATAAATTGAACCATATTTTTCTTCTTTACTAAACCTAAACAATTTTGAAAATAAGGGTCGTCATAATGTAGGTCATCACAGGACAGTCCTATATAGTGTTAAATTGAAATTGTCACGTTTTGTACCACACATGCACTCACACACAATGCTATAGAACTGCAAATTAATTGTATGCTTGCCAAGGTACAATGTACATTTAATCATCGTACCATTTGTACATTTATTCATCATACCACTATTACTTGGCAAATTCTCAAAATGATTAAGACGATGGAAGCCCTCGAAAATATACCTGCACATAATTTGTTGTCATATTTCTTTCACAAATTTTGATCAAGCAAGAGGTGTAAATTATGGACCATAAAAAATTAATATTCATGCAGTCCAAAATTAAAAAAGAAATTATTAAAACAAAACAAAATCATATAAATTTACTAAATTACGACCATCTGGTTTAAATTTATGTATTGTACTTTTTCTACTTTATTTTCTTTCATACATTTTATTTTATTTTTACTATACTTTTCTTTTGATTTTTCATTATTTTATTACATACATGTAGAACCTTATGCTAAGTTAAGTTGTCTTTTGATTATGAACTTTGCAGTATGCCAACTTATATTAGGTGCATATGTTAGTTGCTTTTAATCAAATCTGTAATACACAGCTCTTTCGGATAAGAATACAAGCATATTGCATTGTGGGATACACAAGTAATATCGGTTTAGGGTGGGTGCATGCCCCCCATGCCACTTCCAAGTCTTACGGCTTAATACCCACACCAGAGTGTATGTACATTAGTGTTCACATGGTTTTATATACGTTCATTTCACCCTCCACAAACCTGTGCAGAAAGTCTATTCATAAGTGTATATATTGAAGGGATGATCTGATTAGATGTGTTAGCAAAGTTATCGACTGTATCAAGTTCAAGACACAATTGATATTCTGCATTGAAAAATGTATCCTAACATAAAAATGAATGTAATTTACAAAATTGTACTACATGTATATATATGACGACCAAATAAAAGGACATAGATTTTTTTTTGTATTGTTTTATTATCAGAAAAAAACTGCCCCCATCTGCTTCTCACACACACACACTATAGAACTGCAAATTAATTGTATGCTTGCCAAGGTACAATATACATTTATTCATCATACCACTATTACTTGGCAGATACTCAAAATGATTACCATAACCATAGTTTCTCATGATTGCCGTAACCATAGTTTCTCATGATTGCCGTAACCATTGTTTCTTATGATTGCCGTATAAACCTTGAATGTACTTGAAGACAATTATTTTGTAGACGTCCCACAAAATAAACCTGCGCATAATTTTTCAGAAATTTAGATCAAAAGAAGCTAGGATATAATGTTAATTCATTTTTTTGGGTACACAACTTGTGCATGTACCTGGGATATATGTGCTCAATTGGCCAACCCGTACTTCCTCTAATAAATACACTTAAACCAATATTAATCGCAGGCTGAAAATAAATTTAGTTCAATGAGTACTATTTACACATTTTTACTGATTTTTCAACGCTACACACAGTTATTATTATTATTTTTTTTCCTGTTTTTTTTTGGAGAAAAAAATGATGATAAATAATGCTGAACGAATTATTTTGATTGTCAACCCTCAAGTGCATGTAGACGCTGGACAACACGATAGCTTGAGACCCCTTAAGCGCGCGTCTTTATTCCAGATTAACTTCCGGTACATTTATACGTAGTGATACCAGATTATATAGCGTTGAAAACCAGCGTGACATGCAATGTTCCTCCGGTTCAAGATACCACTTTCTTTTTAAAATAGCGAGTGGTCCGGGGTGATACCAGACGTACGTGTCACCGTGACTCACATGTCAATGGTTACTGGTTTAGAATTCGATCTTCCGGGTTCTGCCATTCAGGACGCTTCGGCGCCTTGACATGACAACAACTAAACAAATTAGATTTGAATGTTGAAAAAATAACTATAAACATGTTTAGATTGACCTCGGTCTATATGTATACATTTTCGCCGTAGTCTTGCGATGTTTGAAAACAATTAATACTTACCTTGTCGTTTTCTATCGATATGTCAGAGTTTTCACACACAATTATAACCAGGAGTTTCAGTCGCACATTTCCTCAACAGGTCACTTCCCTTCTATTTCTTGGTAAAGCGCGTTCGCTACTATTTGTAGGTTTCATGCCACCAATCACAGTTCCTCAACTGTGCACCAATTAGCCTATCTCCGTAGCCCAAATCACAGAGTTGTAAGCCAATGACCTTATTTTTTCGCCGTTTTTTTTATATCTGAAACGCGATGTGTGAGGGCGTACTTCAATTACGTCAGCTTTAGACTTGTGAAGCTGTCATTGACGCTGCAGGTCGGCGTCTTCTACACCGATCTGACGCATATCGCGCAAGGTGTGCCGAGAGTTTGTTCGAAATTTCGAACGTTTCGAAGTCAGTTGTCGGTTGGCACGTATTTTACGGATATATTAAATCGTTTCACGGGCCTGTTTACTAAATAATAATAAATGAAACTTAGAAAACTTGTAAGAACAAACTGGGCCCAAATTGCAATAAGTTTACGCTGCTAGAGACTGGTTCGGATGGAGTTCTACGCGTGATTTTATTGCGCTCAAGGACGT